TTTAAACGTTTTTAAAAGTTTGATTCAAGAATAATTGATTTGAAATGTACAGCTTTCTCACTTCAGGGTATTTTTATATTTGATATTTTAGAGAGAGGGGAAGTGAGGAAGAGAGACACAGAGAGAGGAACAGATGTAAGAGAGACGCATCGATTGGTTGCATCTTGCAAACACCCTCACTGAGTCCAGGAATCAAACCTGCAACCAAGTGTGTGCCCTTGAATCAAAACCCTGTCCCTTTAGTACCCAGGCTGACACTATCCACTGAGCCAAAAAGTGTAGGGCTAAAATGTACCTTTTTAAAAATGTATACTTTTGATGTTTCCATACATGCCTTCATCCCTGAAACCAATGTCCTCCTGCCTTTTTCAGTGCTTCTTTCTGACATATAAAATAACTGATGCAAGGACACATTCTGCCTTTGTAACAGTTTATTTAAATATATTTCCATGTAAAGCAAACACTTATGAAAACCCATGGATCCTCTTCTAGACCTCCATCATAATCTGTCATCATGGTGGTTCTCATATCTATCTAATCTCAGACATCATAGTGGGTTATTTTACTGAAAATCCCAGATATGTCTGGCGCTGTTCAGGTAGCTCAGTTGGTTAGAGCACCATCTCGATAACAACAAGGTTGCAGGTTCCATCCCAAGTCAAAGCAATTGCGAGAATCAACCAAGTAGTGTTAGTATAAAATTAGTGAACAACAAATTCTCTCTCTCCCTCTCTCCCCCCAGTTTTCTCTCGCAAATCAATATGTTTGTTGGTGTTTACTTTCACCCAATCAGTCCACACATGTGACACCAGAACAGTCCAGGGACCCCCATGGTGAATCAGTGGCCAGGGTTCTCATGAGGGCAGAGCACACAATGATGCGAGAACAGGACGGGAGGTGCTGCGGCTGTCAGTGTGGAGGGTAGGGAATGGGGGCTGAGCTGCACAATCACCCACAGAGGATGATGACATCTGTGCCCCCTGGGACTGAATCCAAAGGGACCTGGAGAAGCTCTGGGCCTGGACATGCCCCCTGCGGTCTCTGCACCTTCCAGCCAGGGGCTGAAACTGAGCTGTTACAGATTCAGGTAGTTGAGAAGTCCAGATTCTTCTTGGGAGTCAAGGATGGGTGCCACAGTGGCAGCTGGGCATGTGTATGGGCAGGAGAAAAAGCAGGGCCGTTGCCAGGGAGAGTTGGTGGCAGGGCAGGGAGCATGTGTGTATGGCTGGGGCCTCTTTAGTCAAGGCTCAGCCTGGTGGCCACTCTGTTCTTTGGGGGCATGCTTGATGGGAAATGGAGCAAGAGCTGCTGCAGGAGTTCCCAGGTGTCATGACCTGGGAGCCAGCATGTGCTCCAAGAAACCTGGTGAACCAGGAAGGTGCACCCCAATCCACTGTAATAAAGTGGCTCAGCCATTGGTCTGCCCAGGAAGGGGAAGAACTCTCTCTGCAGAGGCCGATTCTCTTTCTGCCCATCAGGAGGGGTTGCTGGCTGCTGAGCCAGGACGTCCTCTCCTGGGTGGCAAGGGTCTTGAATTTTCGCCATTGAAGGAGGCTGCATATATTTATAAATCTTGTCAGAGAAAATTCCCTGACCCACCCTGTTGCTCTGAGACGGGTCTCCTGCCTGCATGCCCACCTCCACACTCTTGCCTTTGCCTGGGATGTCCCCACTGATGCTGGGGCATGGCCTGTTCTTGTCAGGGGCTGGCAGAGAGGAGCCTGAAGCAAGGCTCTGGGAAGGGTTCGGGTCCGGTGCCTGCCTGAGGGGAGCTGGCCAGGGCTCTTCTGTCTCCAGCCAGCAGTCTCTCCAGGTCCCTATGCCCCAGGCACCTGCCCTACTTCAGCCCCTGATGCTTTCAGTTCAGAAATAAGTTCACTTTCCGAAAGTCGTGTGTCTGGCCAGCACACACACACACCCCTGAGGGCTACTGCCATAGTGTGAGTCTCTGTTTTAGCATTTCTTGGTGTAATTTTCCACTTTGCTTTATTTAAAAATAAAGGCCCCTTTTCCTAAGCCAGTCATGGAGGTACCATGAATTCTCCCAAAAATCGTGCTGTGTTTTTTCAATGGCGAGAACATTCTGCAACATAAGGCTTTCCAGAAGGCCAGGTTTGGTCTCAAGATGATACCACATTGAGGGGATGCATTGTGGCTGATGTCCTCCCTCTCTATGTTTGGCATTGGCAGAGCAGACCCCTGCTCCTATAGTGTGGAGAAGGCCCCAGGACTCTGGGGGACAGTCTGCTGATGGCGGGTGTGTTTGAGGGAGCAGAGAGGTTTGGGGCCTTGGATAGTGTCGGGGAGGGGGTTTCCTGACAGCACATGGGGCAGGGTCCCAGAGTGGGTGTATGTAGGGAAGCATGTAGGGACGAAAACTTGAATCAGGCTGGATGGAAGGCAGCAGTTAAGGGTGGGCACCGCCTGTAAGGAGCAAAAGGGTGGCACTGTTGCCCCTGACTGTTCCCGACTCCCCATCCCCTATTCTAAGCTGCAGGAGGCAGCAGAGTCTAACATTCGAAGCAAGAAATCTGTTATTAGAGACACATGGGTTTGCCTTCCAGCCCCGTCTTTTATTAACTCTACAATCAGGCAATTTACCTTGTATTCTCTCACAGCCTGCTTTTTCTCTTAATAATGTGATGTTTTATGTTAAAAATAAAAAAAAAATGGATAGCTGGAGTGGCTCAGTTCAATTACAAGTCAGATGCCCTGGCTCGATGCCCAGTGGGTGGGTGGGT